TCAATGGCCAAGATCCAGAGACTCTAATAATAATAGTAAAAAATAAATAAAAGGACTGGGATGGCAAGTACGGGGAAAATATTAATTTAGCCTTTTGGGCAGACTTGGTTACCTTGCCAGCTCCAGCTGCCTTCTTGTCTACTGCTTTGATGACACCCAGGGCAACAGTCTGTCTCTTATCATGACCAGCAAAACGACCCAGAGGAGGGTAGTCAGAGTAGCTCTCAATGTATATGGATTTGCCAGGCACCATAACAATGATGGAAGCATTACCAGATTTCAAGAATTTGGAGCCACCTTTCAGCTTTTTTCCAGAACGAGGATCCATCTTTTCCTTCACGTGAGCAAACATGCAAGCAACATGGGTTATACAACAATCCAGTACAGGTGCATAAGCAGCCTGATTTGACAAGATGGTTCAGGATAATCACCTGAGCTGTGAAGCCTCTGCTTCCAATGGAGGGTCTTTTTTGCTAACATCGGCCACAATGCCAGGATGAACATCCTTAACAGACACATTTTTTTTTCTTAAATTTTTATTAGTGAAACACCATGAGGTACAGTTGTAGACTTACAAATTTTTGTGCTTGGGTTTCAGTTATACAATGATCGAATACCCATCCCTCCACCAGTGCCCATTCTCCACCACCACCAGTCCCAGTATCCCTCCCTCCCCCATCCCCTCATCCCACCCTACCTCTGTGGCAGGGCATTCCCTTTTGTTATCTTTCTCCTTTTGAGTGAACAGACACATTCTTGATATCATTAAAGTCCATGTTATTCCAGGAAGAGCTTCGATCAGAGCATCATGGTGTATTTCAACACACTTAGCTTCAGTTGTAACATGGACTGGAGTGAATATAATTACCATGTCTGGTTTGAAAATACCAATCTCAACTCGGACCATGGGTCAGTACCAATACCTCTAATCTGGAAACATCTTGGAGGGACAGGACAAATGGATGGCAGGATACAATCTACAGATTTAAGCAGTTGTGGTTCCACTGGCACTACCACCTTTATGGGTGACTTTCTATCTCTTCACCTATAGCATTTAACACTTGGCTACAGCATAGTGTCACTATTCCAACCAGAAATTGGCACAAATGCTATTGTGACAGAGTTGTAGCCAATTTCCTTAATATAAATGCTATCTTCCTTAAAATCTGTAAACATCTTGTAGGGGCAGGACAAGTGGGTAGCAGGATACATTCATGGCTGTGCGCTTCCGGGAGCTGGGTTTTGTAGTCTCTTGGTCTTGGCCGCTGATTGGATTACACAGCGTCAGGGGCCAGTTGGTGGGTGTGACCCCTGCCTACTAGAAGATGGAGGATCTTGGTGGAGGATGCTCAGCCCCTATCCGAGCAGGCTTGGAGATCTCAGCCCCGGGACCCACATAGCTTTGTTCCTCTGCTGGTACCTTCATGCGTGTGGAGAGTGGTCTCAGCATGGTTGTGGCTGGTTCTGGAGGTCTTCAGCTGCCAGAGCTCTACTCAGGGCAGGAAGGGAAACTCAACCCGCCCCCCTCCACGGGGCCCCAATGAGGACAGTCAGGCGCGGGGGTCAGGAAACTCTGCACTGTTCTCTTCCGGGAGCTGGGTTTTATATCTTATTACATCTTATTATCCCATTCTTACTTTGGACAACCTGGCAGGCTACCGAATGTAACCTGCCCACACGGCAGAGTATGGCAAACTCCCTGTGGTGTACCCAATATGCCAAATACCAGTAACAATGATGGGTCTCATTCTACTAACCCTGAAATAGCCTTGAATATGGCACTTTTTAAAATCTCAGGGCTAGGACGAAGGAGATGTTACTGGGGCCTGCTAGAGGCAATCGACGAACAACAGGATGATCATGATTGTTCCTTAACAATTTCCTTGTATATCTTCTGGCTGTAGGGTGACTCGCTGAAATCCATTTTGTTAACCCCAACAATGAGCTGTTTCACAACCAGTGTATAAGCCAGCAGGACGTGCTTGAACGTCTGCCTATTCTTGGAGATATCGGCCTCAAATTCACCCATACCAGTGGCAACAGTCAGTGCAGACAACCTGAAAAATGCCTGTAATCATTTTCTTGATAAAGTCTCTATGTCCTGGGGCATCAATGATGGTAACATAGTACTTGCTGGTCTTGAACTTCCACAAGGAGATATCAATGGTGATACCACGCTCACATTCAGCTTTCAGCTTATCCAAGACCCAGGCATACTTGAAGGACCCCTTATGCATCTTGGTGGCCTCCTTATCAAATTACTCAATGGTTCTCTTGTCGATGTCACATTTGTAGATCAGGTGGCCAGTAGTGGTGGGCTTGCCAGAGTCTATATGTCCAGAGATGACAACAATGTTGATGTGAATCTTTTCATGACACCTGTGTTCTGGTGGCAAACCCGTTTCAAAAAAGTGTATTTTCTGTTTGTTGATTGTTTCCTCTGTTATAAAGGAACTTTTTAGTTTGATGTAGTTAACTTAATGCTTTTTGGTATTTCCTTTTGCTTTTGATGTCAAATCCATTTTTTTTAATTTGTCAAGGCTGATATCAAAGAGCTTACCACCTATACTTCCTTCTGATAGTTTTTAAGTTTCAGGTCTATCATTCACATCTTTAATCCATTCTCAATTGATTTTTGTATATAGTATAGTGGTCCCATTTCACTCTTTTGCATGCAGTTGTTTAGTTTCCCTGGCATTATTTATTAAAGACTATCCTCTCCCCATCATATATTTTGATAGATTTTCACAAATTTATCAGCCATACGTATATATAAATAAATATATGTATATTTACTTTGTGGCTCTCTATTCAGTTAATCTAGGTGTTTGTTGTTATGTCAAACTGTGATTATTATAACTCTGTAAGATAGTTTGAAATCAAGAACCAAGAATATTGAAACCAGAATTTCTAAACTTTGTTTTTTTTCGATGTATACTTGTTTATTTGAATTGTTTGTGATTCAATACAAATTTTAGGATGATTCTATTTCTGTGAAAAATTTTACTAAGATCATATTAAATTTGTAGTCTGCTTTAGAAGTGTAGCTATTTTAGTTATATTAATTCCTTTGATCTATCGGTACATAATTGCTCTTCATTTTTTGTGAGTTCTTCAATTTATTACTTTGATATTTTACATATCATCTATAATTTCACTAATTTGTGTTTCTGCAATTAGTTTGTTCATTATGCTACTACAGCCATTAACTATCTTTTTATTTCAGCAGTTATATTTTATCAAACGCCTGGAAATTACCAAGGGCTGGAGTGATAGCACAGCGGTAGAGCATTTGCTTTGCACGCAGCCAGCCCAGCTGAGCCGGGTTCGATTCCTCCTCCCCTCTCCGAGAGCCTGGCAAGCTACCGAGAGTATCTTGCCTGCACGGCAAAGCCTGGCAAGCTACCAGTGACGTATTCAATATGCCAAACACTGTAACAACAAGTCTCAAAATGGAGACGTTATGAACAACGGGAGGACAGTGTTTGTTTTGTTTGACAGTGTTTGGAAATTACCACTCTTCATAACTGTTTTGTTCTTACCCAAGTTATCAACATACTTATTTCCCTATCTCTTTAATTAATTATAATTAATTGACAAATTAATTTGACAAATTAATTAATCTGTCAAGGCTGATATCAAAGAGCTTACCACCTACACCGCATCTCGAAAGAGATAGCAAACTGCAGAATACTTTTCCGGAAGTCTTGCATGGCTGAGTCTTTAGGGCACCCGGTGGGGGAAGAGGGGTGAAGGTGGGTTGAGTCCACAGCTGCCCCAAAAAGAGCCCCAGCAGCTGAAAAAGCTCCCACATTCCATAATTGCTGCAATGCCCTTCCACCAGACTACTGCCTCGGGCCAACCCTCACCCAGAAATTAATCTGTTGAAAAATTCAGGTATGCCTTATGATTCATTTTAAATTCATATCCTGTCACCCAAATTTTGTATTATCGAACATAAGTAATTCAGTTTGTATTCTTGATTTTTAAAAAATTCTACTTATAATTTTGGGCTGGAGCTATAGCACAGCGGGTAAGGCATTTGTCGTGCACGTGCCGACCTAGGTTTGATTCCCCCGCCACTCTCGGAGAGCCCAGCAAGCTACCGACAGAATCTTGACCACATGGCAAAGCCTGGCAAGCTCCCCGTGATATATTTGATATGCAAAAACCAGTAACAACAAGTCTCACAATTTGTTGTGAGATGTTATTGGTACCTGCTTGAGCAAATCAATGAACAACAGGAGGACAGTGCTACAGTGCTACTTATACTTTTAAATGTATTATTAGTTTTTCAGATCTATCAACTTCTCTCTTTCCATTGTTATGTTCTAGAAAGAGAGATCATTTAAGTTTTCCAATTTCTAGAATATCTTTGTATAAACATAAGACAAAGCAACTATATCTTCATTTTCAATTACATGCAGATTCCAGTCTTAGTCATTCATGTTAATAAAAAGCATTCACCTAACATTTTTATTAAAAATTTTATTTTTCTAGTGTTTTATTAATCTTACTTTAGATTCTTCCATAAGTGTACTTAATTCAATGTTTTTTTTACAATACACCTCAAGCCATTACTTCTTACAGGGGCCAGAGCATAGTACAGCGAGTAGGCCATTTGCTTTGTAGCAGCCAACACATGTTGGATCCACAGCATCCCATATGCTTTCCTGAGCAGTGCCAGGAGTAATTCCTGAGTGCAGAGCTAGGAGTAAGCCCTGACCACTGCCGAGTGCAGCTCATAAAAGCAAAAAGAGTTCAGAACATTAAATTTAAGATGAACGTAAAACAAACATTGTGTTCTCTATCTTTTGAAGTACTGATGATTTTCATTCATACAGAATTTTATTTCCAGGATCTTATAATTGTAATTATAAATAAACCAATAGCAAAAATCACATGAAATAAAAAAGTAGAAGAAATATTTTTCCCTTCCCCTCTACCCCACCTTCACCAAATAACACAGTAACACAACATGCTTATAACTAGATGAATACCTTAGATGGCAAGCCAGTTGAACCAGGGCATCCTTTTTTCTTTAAGGTTGGTGTGTGAACTGGAAGAGGAGTACTATCTGCATTCTGAATCCATGGGCAAAAAAGAAAATAAATGTTATGAAACACCATCTATTTGGAATATCAATACAAATAAATCAAATTTAATAAAGCAAAAAAAATCAATGAGAAAAACTCAGTGACATTAAAATTCTTAGTGTTGATAATTTAAATTTTTGCCTACAATCTCTACAAATGGAGTCTTTGTTCAATCAGTAAAATTCTTTCAGTCTAGAAATTTAATCAATTTGTAAAAGATAATTTGCAGAGAATAAAAGGCATAGCATAAAAAATTAGCATATCAACTTTCAGTCACCTGAAAATGCCAATAATTCTAAGAGGCATACGAAAAGTTTTTAGCATGATCTATAATAAAAACATTAAGAGAATACTTTTAATTAACTTTCTTATATAGAATGTATATTATATATATCTAAATATATGTATGGAACTCCATTCTGGATCTGTGTGTATGTGTGTGTGTGAGTGTGTGTGTGTGTGTGTGTGTGTAAAGAAAGGAGAGAAAAGATATTGACTGATAATTAGAAATGCTTTTTAAGAAATTAAGTTACAAAGAAAGCTATATATTTAATACTATGAAACTCAGAACTCACATGCAAATTTAATTAAAAATCACATTTTATTTCATATGATATTACAAGATTTTTTTAATGAAAGGAATCAGTGATTTTACTAGATGTTATTGTGAAAAAAGGCATTATCATAGTGCAAAACTAATATGAAGAATTACTTCCTTAGGGTCTAAAGAAGCAAGTAAGAGGAAAAAGCTTTGTTTACTATTACAGAATAATCCAAAATAATAAGAAAAGAAAAAAATGGATGATCTTTTTAAAATCTGATATAGATTCTAACTCTCTGAAGCAGAATATTTTACATGCATTGGAGACTTAAAATGGAACTGATTTGAGCTTAAAATTTTTGCTTGTGTGTTTAACTTAATTTACCTTTAAATAACTTGAAATTGTTTTGAACCCAATATATAACCTAATATTTAAAAAGAATATAACAAAGATAAAAGATAGAAACACGAAAAGCCTATATAGAAGTTAGAAAAATTCATAAGAAACAAAATTGTCATTAGAATTTACACAGACAGTACAAAAAAGGTTTTAGAATTAAAGGAAGTGAAACAAGGTTGATAGATACAAAAGCAGAGTTCTAAAGACTAATAAATAAATATTAGCAAAACCACACCAGAAAAAAAATTAAAATGACTTCATTCAACACAGTAATAAAAATTCTGATATACCTAAAGCATATGGAACGTATCTTAAAAGCAAATGGAGTATACATTCTTTAAGACAATGATGAAGTTTTTCTTTAGTAAGTCCTAAAGGAATAATATGTATTCCTATCTGGAAAGTCCCAACATCATAATGATGTTAATTCCCCCTCAGATAAATTTATAAGTGCAAATCCTACATGGAACTTGACAAGCTAATCCTAAAAATCCATAACTAAGAGGTCAAGAAGTAAAGATAGAAGAGAATGGGGATATCAGTTATCAAGAACAATTTTAGGACCATAATAACTAATCAATGCAACACTGATGCAGGAATAAATAAAAAAGAAATGTGAAACAGAATATAGAACCCTTAAAGAGAACCACTGATGTAAGGAGAAAGCTTTAAAAATAGGGGAAAATATAGGAGGGTTGGCTGTTCTATTGAAAAGAAAAAGATGAGAATCCACTACTAATAAGACATGACAATACATTTTAATTTCCATGCATGTAGAAGCAAAATTTTTTTAAATTTTCAGAGGAAACCATGAAAAAAATCATTAATTTTGGTATTGGGAAGAATCATTTTTCCAGATATAAAAAGCTTTAGCAATAAAGAAAAAGACTGATAAACATTACTATCTTAAAATAAAAACTGTTGCAAGTCAAAATATACTGCAAATCAAACTTAAAAATCAGCCACAGACAGGAAGAAAATGTTTGCAGTGCAGAGAGCCAGTTAAGGAAGAGTATCCAGAATATATAAAGTTTACTTGCTGAACAGCAGGAGAAATAATTCAATAGAACAATGGATCAGACACAAACAGGCAGATCACTAATGGTCATAAACATATAACAAGATACTGAACAGCACTTAAAATAAAAAGAAATGCACATTAAAATAAAACACCACTCCATAGTCCTTAAATTGGCAAAAGTTAATGTTCGACAGTACCAAGGATTGACAAGGATGCAGGGAAATGGGAAATGCTCATACACTACCAACGGAAGTGCAAGTTGGTCCAACTACTGTGGAAGATAGCTAAAAGTTGAAAATGCATATATAACACAACCCAGGAGTTCCATTTGTAAGTATATATGCTAATGCTAAACAAATTGGACATTAGCAAAAGCAGATCTCTATTAGGATTTTCAATTTGCCACAGATTGAAACTACAACATTTAGAAAACAACCTGAATATTCAATGATAGAAGAATGACTAGTTGTGATTAAACTCATATGATTAAATATTATTCAAGTTACAATGAATGAGCTAAAGGGGCATACATTTGTATAAGCAAACCCCCAAAACAACTTAAATAAAAAGTTATGAAAAGATAGATAACTTTTATGTAATATTTAAATATATAAATGTTATTTATAAATAAAAATGAAACAAACAGGTTAAACCAAGGAAGAAAGGATGCACCTCAATATCAGGTACCGAGATATGTCTGGGAAAAGAAAGGGAAATGGTACAAGAAAGGTGTTTGGTGGATTTTTCATCTTTCAATTCTCATTTGAAAAATAACAGGGCAAAACATTTAATATGTGGATGGTAGTTAATGGATGTTTAATATATTATCTCTGTAAGTTTAAAAGTTATACCATAATAAAAAGATAAACTCAAAATATATTTTAAATGGTAATCAATAAAAAGGAAAAGGGTTTTATCAATTTAACCAGTCTGAGGAACCACAGGGTTGCAAAAACAAACAAACCAGAATTTAACTACAACTCACACTTCATTTGAAAGAACTTTCTAAACTGCACTACTGGAACTCTAGACACAGCTCTGGAGATAAAATAAGCAAGAAGCTGTATCAGAATTGCAAGGCTGAGCGAAATATAAACTTCATCTTGACACAGGATGACAAAATAGTTATATATGCATTTTTGAATTATTGAGAAAATATTCTCTTTTGAGAAAAAGGCCTAGCTCACTGTTTAATATCATTGACTGGTGTTACAAATTAGTATTTGTTATATTAGTAAAAGATACAATTTAGGCCAAGAATGTAACGCAGTGATGGAATACACACTTTGCATTGATGAGGCCCTAGGTTTAATCCCCAGCAAGCCTATCTTGCCTCCCCAAAAGGGCATAATTTCAATGAATGTCTACTGCTGATTCAGCAGTTAGAATAATCAATTTGGTTGCCACTCATGCTAATTTTAAGCTCTACTTATGATGTACACATGTTATGTCACATAAAATTAGATAGAATAAAAATGAGATTGGCACCTGGCATTGCCATGTTCCTACAGAATGTATAATAATTCCAAATTGGTAAGTCCTCTGTACTATACAGTTCTTTAATTAAGATAATTATTTTTTAGTAATACATCTACTTTTAGCTATTTCAAGTTAAATTTGGAGGGACAATTTTCTACTTTAGTTTTAAATTAAAATCTATACAATTAAATAAATGTACTGATCTCCAATATACTATGGATTATTTAGACAATTTATTCGATTAAAAGATGAATAATTTCACTTGTTTTGGCAATTCCCTCTTTCCTGACACAAGTGTAAAGTTGAGGAGCAAGACTGCTCCAATAAGGCACCTTCACTGGCTCAGCTTCACTAGATGTGGAAGGAGAGGTGGACCTTGACTGGATGTAAAACTTGACGCTCGGATTCCGTACATGTGTGTTCTCAACGGGATCAGTCTAGGAAAATAAGTTAGGAAACACAAAAACCCAAGAAATCACTTTTAAACAATGTGCAGCTCTTAGCAATTTTCTGTAAGGCAAGATCATGAAAACATTTCTTGAGGAAGGAGACTAACAAACTTTAGTTTGAATATTCACATTAGGGATGTGTCATACAAAGGCAGTCACTAACTTTAATGTACATCAAAGATTTAAGATACCGGCAGTCAACAAAATGCTTCACTCTTCATTGCTGGTGTGATTTTGAGCACTGATGTCAAGAGTATGTTCCTGTAGTCCACGTGTAACTTCTGTATTTCCCCAAATTAATCATACAAGTGAAATAAGTAAGAGTCTGTACAGCAGATTAAAGATAATTTTGTTCTTGAGAAGAATGAAATTTAATTCTTTATTAGTGCTAGATGAAAGTGAATGAATGAACCTATTGGTTTTGTGGTTGTTTCTAAAATAAATACTTTAAATTTAACAGCAGTAGAAATATTATATTGTTTTAACAATATTACATTAGTTGTACCCTCCTAGCCAAATATTTTAAAAATTGAAAAGACTTTAGTGGATTAAAACTGAGCAGAAAATATTTTACAATTACAGAAGGGAGGAGAGCTAGAACGGGGACTGAGTTGCATGTCTGCACGAGGCCGTCCCTTGGTTCAAGGCACTGCTTGGTCTACCACACTATTGGTGGGTGCAGCTCTGGAGAACTGCTGAGAATTGCTGGGGTGGCCAGGTAATCCTGGACGCTGCAGGGACTGAGCAGCAACTATCCACAACCCCTCACATTAACCTCCAATTTGGTTAGTGGAGAACTGCTGGGAGGCTCCTATCACCTCCCCGAACCTGAGCCCTCCTGAGCACCCTCTGAAACACCTCCCCATCCCATTAAAAATAAAAATTTTATGGAGTACACAGACTGAAGATTTAAGTAGATTAGTAGCACTGTAGCACTGTCCTCCTGTTGTTCATCGATTTGCTCGAGCAGGCCCAGTAACGTCTCCATTGTGAGACTTGTTACTGTGTTTGGCATATCAAATAAGTCACAGTTAGCTTGCCAGGCTTTGTCGTGCGGGCAAGATACTCTCGGTAGCTTGCCGGGCTCTCCAAGAAGGGCGGAGGAATCAAACCCGGGCCGGTTGGTCCAGTCGCATGCAAGGCAAACGCCCTACCGCTGTGCTATCACTCCAGCCCCATGTAGATTAGTAATATTAAAAACTACTAGGATTTTTTTAAAAATGAAGGATAATGAAGGCAATTTGGAAAAGAGTTATGGAATTTGTTCTGACTGTGTAGAGCAAGAACAATGCTTAGATCGGAGGTATCACATCAGTAAAAAGGGCATCAACTAAAGAAATTTTAAATTTGGATTAATTTTTTTCCCCTTCATTATTAGTATTATGGTTACTAGTTTACGTACTGATTAAGCCTGTAGTTGGCATTTGCTGGACCCACCTATGGCCTCCTAGGACAATGAGCATGGCAATTCTGGCAATGGACAAGGCAAGACTGGTGGGGTAAATCAGTCACCAATGGGGTCTGAGATTTTTAATTACTGGATTAAGGAGAAGAGGAAGAAGAAGGGTCTCAGTGAGGGCACTGGGACTTGGGAGAATAGTTATTTACTGATGGCTACAAATCATGTAATGTTTTAAAAACCCAAAAATGCTAAATTGAAGTATAACATCTGTCTAAAGGTAATGTAGCTGACTCATAAACTAGTATGTCTCATAAGTGAAGGAGACAGGCTTGAATCTCGTCTCTTGACTTTAAATTCAATACTAGATTTGTTGCTGCATCTTCTCAGCAGAGGTACTCAAGTTAATTTACATAAGCATGGAAGTTCTATGCGTTTCTTACCAGTGAACTTTCACCAGGAATTAGAGAGTAGAAGAAAAAATAAAATGGGATTCATAAGAAAAATTTTACAATTTTACTCAGAATAGCCACAGAGAAAGTAATCAGTCAAAATTATCTGAAATAGGACCCAGAAGGCAGAAATGATTTTTCACTTTCTAAAAGTTTCTTCCTTCTAATTTCCATAATATTTTATAAATTTCGAACCAATTAATAATCTATGAGGGCCAAATATACTAAAAATTAATAAGCAAAATAGTACTGATAATTTTTACAGTAAAAACTTAAAATTATCTCAAAGCTGGGGCACAGGAGAGCTCAATTAGCAGAGTTCATGCCTGGCATGTGCAAGGCCGAGTTCCATTCCTAGCACCCCACGGCCCCACAAGCATCATTGGGTTAGGCCCTGCTGTCCCTCCCCTCCAGCACTAAGTATCCCTACCTCCCTATCTCCAGCTTCACTTGCTGTGGCCTCTATTAAAAAAAAAAATACTCCAATATTCAAATAATCAAGAGTTAGCTGTCTCACTTTTTAAAGAAGTGTCCAAATGGAGAATCTGGATCTTTTTAATTAAATATACATTTCTGATCTCTCACATAAAGCCATTAGTGTACAGTCTGATTAAAAGACTGCAGTGAAGGATCCCGTGTGAAGGACAATGCTGTGAACTGATTACCTACAGTGGCTTTATACTTCTGCATCCAATTACTTTTAAAAAAATACCCTCTTCAAAATGACAAAGGAAGGGTCTCATTTTCAATAGTATTGAGTGGAATTTGACAGCAGGCCTGTTCTTTGATCCATGTGAACATACATGGTGAGAGAAGGGAGTGCACTGCTCATATACTTTCTTGCACATAAATCAGAATGCATGTCATTAAGGGAGGTGTTACATTATGAAAATTTCAAATCTAAAAGGACAAGCCTTTTCTGGTCCCGTTGTCAGTTCTTAAAACATTTATCAGCATGTTTCACTATGCTCAAAAAATGTGACAAAGGAAAACTGCTCAATCAATATTTAATAACCTTTGATGACACAAATTAGTCACTCTTAAAGAACTTGGCAATACTAATGAACTACTGTTTATAAAATGTTGTTTTCTAACAAAAATAAAACAGTAAGAATGAGAACAGATTTAAAAATTGTTTTCTTGGCTGAATGAGGTAAAAACTTGTTATTTAGACTATATAACATTTAATTAAAAGATAACCTATACTAATTGGAATAGTAATGAAGACTGCCATACTAAATTTACGAGCAGTGTGGTTTTAAAATAAAATTAGTTCCAGCATTCAAATAAAAATAAGTTAGTTTTTATATAGAAAGGAATAGCGGGCCTTAGAAATAATACAGGGGGTAAGGTGTTTGCCTTGCATGCAGCTGACCCTGGCTTGATCCCTGGCATCACATATGGTCCCTTGAGCATGCCACGGGTGATTCCTGAGCCCCGAAGTAAGAGCAAGTCCTGAGCATTACTGGATGTCACCCTATTCCCTCCGATTTTTTAAAAAAAATAAGTAGATACAAAGGAATACTATTTTGAAATGGCATGAATTGAGCATATTAAAAAATTGAAGGATGCTGTTTACAAAAATTCCTTAGTTTTTGGATAAAGTGAATTATAATGAAGTTTAAAAATTACTATTTTCTAAAAGCGTATTTCCTATGGAGCAAATTTTGGAAAAGATGAATAAATACACTGTAGAAAAAAATTTGGGTGGCGGGGGTTGGGGTTTCCCATGAAATGCTCAGGAGACTAGAAGATCACTCCCAACAGTGTGGGGAGGGGCCATGCAGTGCTGGACTGAATGAACTTCAGGCTTTGAACATGTTAAGACTTGTGCTCCAGTCCACTGGGCCATCTCCTACATCTACTGAAAAGTTGCTACTAGCAAACCTAAAAACACATCCAAATATTTTGCAAGGCGCTACTATGCTGAGGAGATAAGTAGAAAATCTTTTTTGGCAGGGGATTTTTCCTAAGAAATATTCAGGGGACTAGGATGTCACTTCCAGCAGTGTGAGGAGGAGCCCAGACAATGCTGGGGAGAAAACTTCGGACCTTGCACATATAAGCATATGAGATATGTGCCCTAGTCTGCTGGGCTCTCTCCAACTCCCACTGAAAAGTTTCTACTATTAAACTTAAAACCACACCCAACTATTCTGAAAGGCTCTACCAGGCTGGGGAGATAAAGGACTGGAATACATGCCTTACATGCACAAGGCCCTAAGTTCAATTCCTGCAATTCCTGGCTTCGCATATTCCCCCCCCCCCCCCCCCCAAATACTACCCCATACTCTAAGCACCAGTTGGCATGGTCCTGGTGGCTTCCAGTACCACACCCCTGGGCGGGGCATTAAGTCATTAGGCCCAAACTGCTAAATCCAGTATTAGCTGGCCTGGTTCACGGAATACCGCTTGGGATAATCCCACCAAAAAATGAATTCAACAATCCAGCTAATTAGATTTTAATATTTCGGATTCCTGCCAATGTAAACAATACTGGAAAAGTTGGTTTAAAGGTAAAAATAATAAAAACACAATACTACATACAAGTTTTCTGTATCTATATTGATACTATTTTCTATCAACAGGATTGAGGTACTGATTTTTTGGTTGTTTTCTTAATCGCACAGTGGTGCTCAAGGGGCAAGTGCTCAGAGGTCACTTGTGGCAGTGTTCAGAGAACCATGGAGTGCTGGGGATTAAGCTTTGGCCTCGAGCATACAGAGCATGCATTCCAGGTCCATTGAGCTATCTTTCTTGCCACAGACCATAGTTTTAAAAATGTCATTAATTTTATTTCTATTTGCATGCTTACTAATTATTTTTATAAATAATGGCTTTTTTATAATAATTTCCAAACCAAGCATTTAATATTCACAATTCTCAATGATTATGTGCTAGGATATACAGACAGCCTAAACAGTTAACTGAAACAATTAGCAATGATTCAACTGTAACAGGGCAGCAAAGCAATTAATAACATATTAATTATTTGTTAATTATTTGTCTATTAATTGTTAATTATTTGTCATTACAAATATAACTATTAATATAGTTAAACTCTAAGTTAAAAATTCTGTTATGAAAAATAAAGCATTAAATATAAAAATGATTTGAATAATATAGGATAAGCTAATAAATTTTATTTATATCAATATAGATATTGTAATTCAACGATACAAAAATAAAAAATTATAACAAAGGAAAATAGTAAAAAGCAATAAATATCTAATATTATTTAAAAACTAATCTACTGAGAATAAGGAATATCCAAGTATACATAGGCTTCTCCTACATTTTGTGGACTCATTCCTTTTTCTAAATAATACACTTAAAGTAGTAGCACTGCACTGTAGCACTGTCCTCCCGTTGTTCATTGGTTCATTGATTTGCTCAAGCAGGCACCAGTAACGTCTCCATTGTAAGACTTGTTACTGTTTTTGGTATACTGAATATGCCACAGGGAGCTTGCCAGGCTCTGCTATGCGGGCGGGATACTCTCAGTAGTTTGCCGGGCTCTCCAAGAGGGATGGAGGAATCGAACCCGGGTCGGCCTCGTGCAAGGCAAACGCCCTACCCACTGTGCTATCGCTCCAGCCCAACTTAAAGTAGTAATTCTGTAAAAAAGGAATTAGAGGCATCCATTATCACAAAATGCTGTTTTTATCTACTGCTGAAAAGTAGAAATCACTGAGTATCAACAGTTTTCTCCATGACACATAAAATTTCAAGTAAAAAGTCCACAACATTTTCTGAATTATTAGTTTTTCCAATGAATGATGCAAATTTTTTCAGAGTAGAATAGGAAGGCAAGCTTCTCCCTCCCTAGATAAGATCTGATTTGTGACCCACCTATCAAGACTTCCTTAAATTTCAAAACTGTGGTCTTCTTAAATAGCAAAAACTGAAATGATTGATATTTAAAATTTACTAGTGGGTCTTTCCCATTCCAAAAATAATTACAAATTGACTAAAGACAAGATCAAAATATTCTCATAATTGGGCCAATAGATACAGTACAGCGGGCAGGATTCTTGCCTTGCAAGGTCAACCAAGTTCTACCTTTGATACCTCATATGTCTTTTAAGCACCATCAGGATTCAGGATTTATTCCTAAGCACAAAGCCAAGAGTAAGTCCTGAATACCACTGGGTGTGGCCCCAAACAAAAATTTTAAAACTTCTCATAAGAAATTTGCTTTGAATTAAAGGGTACTAAGATTTGATAGGGATTTGATGCAGATTAAAAGATATGTAACATATTGTTTCATATTGGCAAAATAATTATATTTTTATTTTTGCATTTTAACAATTATAAAATTCTCAGTTAATAAAACATACCCAGTGTTTATCAGTTTTACTTTTTAGCATTAGGCTAAAAGTACTCTGGAAACAAAATAGCAAATAATTCAATGTTTTATGTTCAAAACCACTAAAAATACAACTTTTTAGTGATAACTAAACCATTAAGCTTATAATAAAAAAAACATAAAATGTTTTCATTGGAAAATAGTAACCTTATACTTTATCACTGTAAAATTATAAATGACTTAATGTTAAGACTAGCTATCTAATCTTACTAGCATTTATTCTTATTTGAATATATACTCTTAAGAATTTGCAAATATTCTAAGAGAACATAAAAAGTTAAATCACTTGATGTCTATTTATAATCTTTGATCCAAAATCTAAAAGAATAAATTGAGAGGCTCCTGTTTTCTACTGATAAAAAATTGCTTGGGACCAGTTCATATCATTTACGTTAAGATATTAACAATAGTATTGATACCAAATAGTTCTTACATTATGCTTAGCTACAGAACCTACATCTTTTAAGTGTTCAAATTATAAATAAATTAATTTACACAGCATTCAAACTGAAAAACAAGACTCTATAGCACACTAAAAAACTAGTTAACATTCAGAGTAATGCTTTATTTTTTACAAAATCTCAGGTGCTTAAAGAAATTTAATTTTATAAAAGAATTACATTTTTTCTTAGAAAAATCACTAATATTGAACATAAAAATGTAAGCTGCCAACAGATTCAAGGTTACTGTCCTGTAGGGTTATTATCTGTATGTCACCAGAATACACTATTCCCAGGGACTGCTGAGGCTCCTCACTATTCCATCACGGTGTTTCCAAGTAACTCCTGAGTAACTACTATTTCTCCAATCATTTCCCTCACATAAATCACCACTTTCCAGTGGTTGGTTTCTGAGACTGTTGGAAATTTTACTATGAAAGAAAAAAGGCAAGGGAAACCTGGAAAATTATCAAGTCGCCTGTGTTAAAATGAAAAGAAATTCTATCAATAGGTTTCAGTTAAGTGTGGTTTATATACATTCTTTAGAGTAAAGCCAGACTTAAGAGTAGAAATATTTTGTCATCTACATCTCTAAATTATTTTCTACTTATTTAAAAATTTTATAGAAACGTTCTTGATGACCAAGGAACCAAGTCTGAAAGTGAGATATAACCAATCTTTAATAAATTTTATCATATAACCTGATGAAAAAAATCAAAGCATTCAAAATTTAGCCAACTCACAGACTAATGACAAATCAAATGTAAAAGGGGATATAACATGTATCACTTCCTTTCTAGAGGTAATATAATATGGATTTATTTGATAAATCAAACACCCAATGGTCTTAACTGTACAAACATCAAAATTATTAAGAAATCAATTGATCCAGCAATCTTTTAATAAACTTCATTAATGAATGTAGTTAACAGTTGAACTTGGCATTCTACTGATCATATCATTGGTATCTGAACTGCACAGTCATTAAAAACAATAATTTAAAAATATGTGGTATTGGCTTAGTCATAATTATCTTACAATTAACCATCATCACAAAAAGTTAAAAACACAGGAAGCAGTGAGCCACCTCTACCTTCATAGGCCCTTATAAATCCAAGAATTTCCTGAAATTTCTACATCTAAGAATCCTGGGCTTAAGATGCTGATGAATACCAATGGCAATGAAATTGACAGGTGGAAGATAAAAATTTTGTATGTTTTATCACACTTTCCCTTTTAATACTAATATTTAACACTGTATATGAAAATCAGAACAAACAATGTCAGCTAGCCCACTGTTTCTCATGTATGGTGCTAGAATGAAAGTAGATAAAAGGAGATCTTTCCAGAGCTTCCCCAATTCTGGGATTATCAGAATATTGCAAGATAGGTGGTAGCTGGTGCATTTCAGATTGAGAAACAATGAGTGGGTCTTAGCTTAGGAAGATGTTTCACGTTTGTTTTATATCAGAGGCTTACTTAGAAGACTAATTATTTTGTACTTGGTCAATTTCAGAGGTATACTTTTGTGTCATTTAAAAAAAAATTATAATTCTAGTAGTTTGATAACACAACTTTAAATGAACATTCCTAAAGCTTTGCGGCCAAAGCTAAAAAAGAAAAATGTAAAAAGAAAATACAGAAAAGCACAGTAGCAATAGCAGGAGCAGCGGCACACAGCATGCAATAAGTGTAAGAATACACCACAAAAACGTTAGCGTGTTCTGCAACCATGAGCAAATAGAATAAAGAGATGGGGCAGAGGACATCGGGATGGGCACACACAGTGCAATAGTCTCTTACACGTCTGCCTTTGCTAGCTGGAGTACAGGACGGAGAGCGCTTCAACAAAGAAAGGAAAATACCACATGTTACAAATACACACACGACTCCCAATATTAGTACTGTGTTAACAGACAATAAAAACATACATATACAGCCACAATTTTGGGTAGATTGAAAGTACACATATTTTCATGGGGAAAAAAATGAAGCAAAGGACAGTATAGAAAAAGGTTCTCAGACTAGATCTAAAATTGATAATATAACTCTTATTAAACTGTGCACAAAGAACGTTCCTCAAAAAAACATAACCCATCAAGTTTCAGATAGGTTCTTTTCTGGAAAGGTTGGTTATGGCAACCTGAGACAGGAGAACACAAAGTTCTGAACATTTTATTTAAATGGCATTAAGCATTTAACTAGTCCTGCTTCAGAAATTTTTACTCTTTTCAAAGACAGTCCTATTAAGTCAGAGCTAAAGTAGACCTTCAGAATTATTCAAAATGGATTAAAACTGTTATTTCAATAATCTTGTTCATTCTTACTAGATTAATTAGATTGTTGGAAAAGGGATTTCACCTGACATTAAACAAGAAACCAGGAAAAATTAACGACATTTATAAGTAGTTAATAATTATGTCACAATATTTTTTCACATTTTGAAACTTCATGATATTGCAGACCTTTACAAACCCTATTTTTTCTGGATAATTTCCTATATTCAGTTCAATCTAACATTTACTGAAGCATCAGCAATCTTAAAAAATTAAGAAGGCATACCAGTTCAATTGCTTATCACAGCAATGCCATCAACAATGTGGCATTTGTTTTAACAGAGATGTATACAAAGTTTGCATGGAAACCTGGAGAAGGAATAAGTGAGTTTTTTTTTTTATCGGAACCTGGAGCAGAGAATTTACAAATGAAGTCTTCACATTATAGAAGATTTTAGCATTAGACATTGAGGATAGGAAACATCCTTTTAAAGTATTCTTTATCTTTAGAATAATTCCAGCAAGATTAGCAAATAGAACTCCTTCTTTCCATAGGGAACGGATGTGGAAACTGAATTGAATACTGTCACAAAGAATGAACAGCAATCAAAGATTAAAAGAATGTAGATTTCAAAACAAGTTTTTGGCCTTTAGTCCAGTCAGTCTTCTGTTACTCATGGCTCAGCACTCAGGGATCACTCCTGGTAAAGCCTGGGGTCCATACAGAAGAGTGCTGGAGATTGAACCCTGGTGGGCCATGGGCAAGGTAGTTAGCCTACCTACAGTACGATTACTCTGGCCAACCCCCACTGAAGAATTAGTTCTTTAAGAGTAAAAATATTGTCTGATTTTACATAAAGTCTGTACATTTAAAAAGTATTAATACTGAATAAATCCTTCTGAAATTCCACAATAGAGCTAGATATCTTTAACAGTGTTCATTGCTATGTTATCAGCTGACTTTTTCAAATAAAAAACAAGCACTTGGCTCTCCTTCCAGGAGATACTGCCCACAAACAGCCCCTCGGGCTATTTATTAAGCTCCTTAACAGTCAGGATCTTAGAGACACACAAACGAATCTCTGAACTTAGTGGCTTTTGGCAGAAATGCCTCCAGACTTTGCATTAGACCACTTGTGCTGGGTCACCCCAGATGGGAAAAGGTGGTGTCCCTCCGCCTATTCCCCGGCATGCTAGGTGGCTGCCTATCTTTCAGAGCTCACTGGATAATCCAGGTACGTGCTGACAGAGAGGAGACACATGGGGCCTCACAGGATAAGGGTGGAGCCGCCCCAATGAGACCTCTGAGATGCCACCCACAAACAGCCCCTCCAGCTACTTATAAAGCTCCTAATGGTCATGATCCCAGAGACTCACAAACAAATCTCAGAATCTCAACTGAGCGGCTCTTGGCAGAAATCTCTCCAGACTTATCTATTAAAATTTTAGAATTCCAAGATCACGAGGCTGCTCTTGTGGCCACGTGACATCATATACTATTCATAATCAGCAATAGAAAACAAATTGTTTAATGTTGCCTTTTCGGCAGGTCTGATTGTTGGGGGAAAATTCCAAATAATAATGGTGGGACTGGTATCGAAATACTGAATGTAACCAAAGTAGAGAGAGAGAGTAATGTAGGAATTATCTGCCACACAAGTAGGGATAGGGATGGGATGGGGGGTATACTGGGGTTTTTGGTGACGGAAAATGTTGCACTGGTGGAGAGATAGGTGTTTGATCACTGTATGACCGAGATTTACACATGAAAGCTTTGTAAATGTTCTCATGGTGATTCAATAAATAAATTTATAAAAATAAATAAAAAATAAAATCCAGAGTTTGTTCACCAAAAACAAAACAAAACAAACAAAAAAACCCAAGCATTTGGAGGCCGAATTCTAATACTTTAGTATCAATCATTGCACACAGAATATTACTACTCATGTAAAAAGTGCTAAATCTTAAACAGATAAATCTTACGATTTTTGGTATCCCAACTGGACTTTTCTAATGTAAGAGAGCATCAACAGCTTTAAATTTGTTATAATTTTACCAAAAATAAGTAAAAATAATTTTTGTACATTTGGCATTTTATAAAGCTAAAAATGAAACAAAATCATGATAGTGATATTATTTTCAGTGTTTAACTAAAAATCATGTATTTCCTATGTTTTCGATAGAAAAGGACAGTACAGAAGAGCAATAGAAAAGAACATCTCTTACTCACTCTCACATATCCATACCCACCCACAAACCATACAAAAACATACACCCATCATACATACCGTTGTTTTCTACAAACATTAAAATTGGATTCATAGCAAACACTGGAAATAACATGCTGAGGTGTGCAATCATGTATGTAGCTGTGTAACACCTCCAAATAACACAGAGCTGACAGCCCAGAAGAAGCACAAAAAATTAGAAGGGAAAACTGGGTAGACGCCCACTAAACTCAATGAGTGAAAACACTGACATGGAAGGCTTAACTTATACCTAAACACTCAGTAAATCCTCAGGCCATGACTTTAGCAACACCATTATGAGATATATGTTGGAACAAGCAATGTAAAGTAAATTTTGTACATGCTAAGGGAGCAGGCTTGGGGAGTGGATGAGAAACTGGAAACACTGGTGGAGGAAAGGACTTATTGGTGGTGGGACTGGTGCTGGAATATTAAATACCTGAAACAACTGTATTCTGAACAACTTTGTAAATTACAGTGTGTAAAGAAAAACAAAGTCTATGCTGTCAAATACAAAGAACCCAAAATATTGTTTTTATTTTTTATTTATTTATTTATTTTGCTTTTTGGGTCACACCCAGTGATGCACAGGGGTTATTCCTGGATCTGCACTCAAGAATTACTCCTGGCAGTGCTCAGGGATGCTAGGAATTGAACCCGGGTCAGCCGCGTGCAAGGCAAACGCCCGACCCGCTGTGCTATCACTCCAGCCCCCCAAAATATTGTTTTTAAATGGGTGCATGTTTTCAAGTCTTCACAATGATAAGAAATAATAATTTTCAATGATTATGTGATTCAACAATTCAGGAAGAAAATGAAGTGAATAATATTGATGATTGGGGGGTTGGGGAGATAGCACAGGAGTCAGAGGTACAAGCAGAGTGTTTGGTTTAATCAACCTTGGTTAGATCTATGGCAGAGCATAACCCCAGGCAACAAAGGCATCACGACAGTATCCCTGGACGCTTGTGTGAAACATCCAGCCAACCAGTGAAATATAACCTGTGAGTAGTTTGGGAGCCTCCCTCTATATATAGAGAAGCTCATGGAAAATAGTATATATATCTCCCCCCCCAAATATATTTGTGTGTGTGTGTGTGTGTGTGTGTGTAGTTTGGTGGAAGAATGAGTGAAGATGAAAAGAAGCATTTAAGTGAAATTGAACTGATGTACAAGACGCAAATTAAAGAAAATATAAGAAGGAAGAGAAGGGGCTAGAGAGATAGTACTGTGAATAAGGGGCTTGCCTTGTATGCAGCTGACTTGGGTTCGATCCCAGGCACTCTTCTGGGTCTCTAAAGCCCTGTGAAGAGTGATCCCTTAGCAAAGAGCCAGGAGTAAGCCCGTGCACCGCTGGGTCTGGCACACCCCTCCCAGCCCCTATCAGCAATGACCACAAAATAAAAGTAGGAAGGGGAACTAGTTTACACTAAGGAAATAATACAGGAATATTATTGATAGTCTAACAGAATCTTCATTAGTTCTCAACAAACCTTATGAGACAGTTCTGTCATTAACCTTATTTAGATTATTTCCTCCAAATGATTCATCTAGAGGCAGAATTTTAGTTCAACTGAGTAGTTAATGAACAAACTGAAAGACAAGAACTTAGGAATGAGGGAAATAAGCCTTTTAGAGCTGCAGTCTGAATTATTAAGAGTAACAGGGTTTATAAACACAAACCCTTTTACTTTATAGTTTGTCTTTGCATGGCTATAGAATTTCACTGTTTGTTTGAGCTGAATTTAAGTTAAGTAACTGCAAATGAAGGACAAAAACAGAAGTCTCCTGGAGGAAAAGTGAAAATAAGAAATTAGGCACCATAGCTGGGGGTGGCACTGGAGAGAGAACACTGAAGGCTGAAACTAGACAGGATCCTGGGGAAACATTTTCCTGAAGAATCTTCTCTGAGAAAAGCTAACCCATTTGATAAAAATACACACAATTATATTTAACATTCAGGAGTTTTGTGGGAGAAAAGGGAATAATAAGAGTAAGAAAGAAAATGTTAGAAAGGAAGGTTTCTCTAGTGGAAAGAACAATTACAAGAACTTATTCAACACATTCTTCTAATTCTCTTTCAGGTGAATGATACCTTTTTGGATATACTCTGCTGAATATTTACACTAGATTATAACATAAAATATACCATATATAAAGAAGATTTTTTTCATCATACTGCAAATTAAATAGTGTAATTCTTTGCTTCAAGAATAATTTAGAATGAAAATATGGACATTCTGGTACAAACATTAAAAATTACTATAATAATTTTTAAAATTCTGAATCAAGATTTTCCTCTAGTGAAAAATTATGCTAAATATTCCTTTGAAAATAAGAATGATGTTTAACAAAACACAAGGATGAAAATATTTAAAGAAGTTCCCTGACTTTAAAAACAATTCTATAAATAGTATTTCACTTGAACCTACTATATTTTTCATTACTACTAGGAAGACTGAATGTTCAACAGAATATTAACATTTAGTATGAGAAGAATTATTGTGCCATTCAATATGGGATAGACAGACTGCATACCAGGTGATTCTATAGAAAGAACTAAATTATATACATTAGGAATTTTACATTATAAAAATCTATGAATGTAAGAGCAAATGAATAAAGCAGTTCATCTATAGTATATACAGATGTCTATATCAATCACTTTCTAGAATAGGAAAGTAATTTTGTTGTCATTAAAATCAATTGTTATAATAAAATCTACTGAAGATTTCATTTAAAATGTTACTTTCTAATTACAGCAATGAAGATTCACATCTAAGAAATTCAATGGTAAAATAAACAAAATGGGAATCTGGAATAGAAATATCCATGAGGAAGGAAAATAAGCAATATTTACACATATCTATATAGTCACATTACAAATAAGGATATTCTAGTCTTTAGAACGTACTAAAAATGGAAATATAGATCATCTGATTGCCAGAGCACTTTTCAAAGTATGTTTAATAATGACAAACTTAAGAAAGATTCATATTTGCCTCACAAATAATCAAGTGTGCTTATTTCTAAAACTGCATTTCGAGGCAAATTCCATATCAATTCACTGATCTCTTTTACTGAAGGATGCATTGGTTTGAAAATCAAAGACTTACGTCATCCAAAAAATCAATCAGTGAAAATGAGGAAGAAGAAAAGGAATCCTATTTAACTAATACAGCAATAAAAAATAGAAAATATGAAGCAATTTAATAAGAATAAATCAAAAATTTATAAGACAGTTGAAAGGCAAAGGACATTAATTCAAATAAACAAATGAGTAAAGCAGTCACTACTATTGTTTTTTAAGAAACTTAAAAACTCATTACTTTTTAAAAATAATTTTTCCCCAAAAAATGAGATATAATTTATATACAACTCCAAAAAAGTAATAAAATGAAGCTCATGGCAAATAACTAATAATATAAACATTTTAAAAAGGTAATACCCAAAGTAAACAATAGAATCTATCTCTAATTTTCTCACTAGAATGTAAAGTCTTCTAGGGTTGGGTACTTGGTTATAACTATTTCTAGCACCTAACAGCGTTTCTCAGAAAGACATATGATTATCTGTTAAATAAGCATAGAATTACCAACAAACTTTCAGAGACCAAAACTTACTTTATATTATGGATCTATTTTTAGAAAAAAAACTTAAATATTAAAGAATGATAGTCATATCATCATTTTATTATTATGAAATCTGCCTTTTATACTACTATACTCTTGCACTCCTATTATGCTACTATATACTTTTATTAAAAAGTATCTTTTTTGGAACCAACATGTAGCCAATGTTCTGAATACATTCTGTATGCAGGAGCCGGCCTCAGTTCAATCCCAGGCACTGCATAATTCTCTGAGCACTGTCAGGAATGATCCTGACACACAGTTCTGGAAGTAGTCCCTGAGCAGCACACAGTGTGACCCTAAAGCAAACAAACAAAAAGTATTTCTTTCCCTTTCATATATTTTCAAAAAGCTGAAGTGATTTGAACTCAGAACCAGCACTATCTTACTACTTTAGGCTTTGACATGTTACTTACTGCTTTGAAAAAGGTGTCAAATTTATTTCAAAAATTAGGATTTTATCTGCACTTACTAGTTCTCAGAGGAAGAAATAAAAGTGCTTTTTACGTCATATAACAGCTCTTGTGTTCTCTTAAATACAAATGTGGTTTTATAGTTTCTGCAATTGTGGAGGAACATGTTCTTTTCCAATACATTTTTGTTTATCTAAGATTCTAGGTCTCCTTAAATGGAATGCAATAAAACACTTCATTAAATAGAAATTTTAAATCACAAAGTGGACTTTAAATTGGCCAATAGAGAATATCTGAAAGACTAAATACTTACTTCAAATTGATCCAGAGCATCGGTAGGCGTATTCAAAAATGCCAAGAAAGAATGCTGTGAGTCTTGGTGCTCTATACCTAGAAAACAGCAGCAACTTTTTTTTTAAAACTATAACAATTAAAACTAATTTTCATGGATAACCTTTTCTATCTTAGTCTTAAAAAACTTCATAAAATGCTGCATTTCAAAGATGATCAGTACTATTAACTCTACCAATTAAATTAAAATACCTTACTGTTTCTTAGAATATACTTTAAACTACATCAGTCTCCATGAATTTGGAGAATGAAACTTGCTCTTGACTTATATGAGATCTTCAATTTCTTTCTTTGTCCATTAGTACATCATAAAAAGCACAAGAAGTCTTTTGGTAGACTCGAGAAAATTTAGAAAGTAGGATGCTGGTTAAGTCTATTTCTCTAAGCTAATTTATCAGCAAACTTTCTGATTTGAAATACTCTATTAAGCATACAGTATGCATTAATACAAACAACATTTTAGAAGGACATAACATAGTGATACAACAAGTACATTTAATTATAAAACAATTTTTATCAAGGCATAAATTAGGTATTAACTATTCTTTTAATGATAGAATGAAGACTGAACCCTAGTTTTTTCTAGAAAATTAAAAATTATCTTGTGGCTATGGCATAACTTTAAATGCATAATTTCTAAAAAATAGAAATAGTCACAATTATATATACTAGAAAGAATAAAGAAAAAAGAATCTAGCATAGATTTTTTAATTTCCATATTCTCAGGAAATGATAAAAGCTAATTATGAGCTTTTCATATTATTCTCTATAATAGATTGTGGTTGCCAGATAAAGCAATATGCTCAGAAATCTACTAAGTCAATATGTATTTCTCTGGCATCTATTTGTGCCAGACACTGTTCTAGATAATGGAGATAATAAATAAATAAGCCCTTTGCTCTCACTAGTAAAAAGTATACTGTTAAAGGAGTCACTGTGACTGTCATCCCATTGTTCATCTATTTACTCAAGCGGGCGCCAGTAATGTCTTCCATTCGTCCCAGCCCTGAGATTTTAGCAGCCTCTTCTTACTTGTCTTTCCCAATGCTGCCGTACTGGAGGAGTAAAGAATATTATATTTCCTTTATGTGATTTCCTCCAAAAAGCAAAGAGAGACCCAAGCAGCTATGTATATCACAGGGCTGGGAAACAAAAAGAAATTTCTCAGTAATAGTAACATAAATCTATTTGCAAATTCAGGCAGCAATACTGACTTTGAAGAAAAGATGATTTCTAGTACTGTAGCACTGCTGTAGCACTGTCCTTGGGTCGTTCATTGATTTGCTCGAGCAGGCACCAGTAACATCTCCATTGTGAGACTTGTTACTGTTTTTGGCACATCAAATACATCACGGGAAGCTTGCCAGGCTCTGCCATGGGGGTGGGATACTCTCGGTAGCTTGCTGGGCTCTCCAAGAGGGACCGAGGAATTGAACCCGGGTCGGCTGTTGCACGGTAAGGCAAATGTCCTATCCACTGTGGTAGCTGCTAACAACATTTAGAATTTATTTTTACTAAATAATTATATTCTAAATGCCCACATTATGGAAATCTAGTTTTAGAAGTTCATGTGATAAAGTTAGCAAGCACTGAATTAGTATTTACATCAATAAAAAAATGCTCAAGCACTATCTTCAGGAAATTGGAAATCCTGGGAAATTTCACAGGGCAAACAATTCAAGAATCAAACATGGAAGAACACAAAGAAATGTCCAAACAATTCTTTATCATTGTCTTTTTAATACTAGATTAGCTTAATCTTTTGTAATTTTATACAGCATTTCCTAAACTACAGAGTGAATGCCCGCTAACATTTGAGAATAGTACAAAATATATCAGAAAATAGTTTTTCCAATCACCAAAACAGTATTATGAGATAGTCCACAGCACTGGAAAAGCAAGTTTTGAGCAAAATGAGTTTTTATTGCAAAACTTTTAAACAATGGATATTAAAGTTTTTATAACGTGACCAGTCTACAGTCTATGACTATGACACATACACATAGACTGAATGAATCATAACGTCTGTTAAATATACATATATCCACAAATGAGTGTCAGAATTATTATGCAAACCATTCTCCCATGTACAAATTAAACTAATTTTCGTAGGGAAAAAAAAAGTATCCCTAACAACCCTGATTGATGTAAAAACACATTCCCATACCCTTTTCAGATCTAAGTTCTTCAGTGTCCTTTATCAGTTGTTCTATTTCTGAAAGTAGTTCCAAATTCTTCTTCTCTGATTCTTTTAGTTTACTAAAATAACAAGGGGTGAGCAGGGGAGAGAAAGGGAAAATGTCATTATTTTTATTTCTGGTTAATGAGCCATATATGTAGCTGGACTTATCTGGCGCGATTGTCAGTCACACTATATTAGGAAGCTGCAACCTACTCCTGCAGAAATGACAAATCCAGCCTGCCACTCAACATACACGTAAAATAAAGTTTTATTGGAACAAAGCAAGGATCATTAACTGACATAATGTTTATAGCTACTGTTGAAACTGAGTTGATTTGCAGCTGAAGTGATCTGCAAAATTTAAAAAACTTAGTATATGGCAGACTATAAGCAACATTAGGACAGTGGTGGAAAGTCTTGGGCACTTTGGTAGTGAAGCTGCAGTCTATCTATCAAAACCATAAATGTTAAAACTACTGTAAACATGTTACCAAAATGATAGTAATGATAGTTTTTAAAATAAAAAGGAGGGGGAATTGCTATCCTTGATCTAATCCTGAATCTTATTTATTATTATTATTATTTTGCTTTTTGGGTCACACCCGGCGATGCTCAGGGGTTACTCCTGGCTCATGCACTCAGGAATTACTCCTGGCGGTGCTCGGGGGACCATATGAGATGCTGGGAATCGAACCGAGGTCAGCTGCGTGCAAGGCAAATACCCTCCCCGCTGTGTTAGTGCGTCAGCCCCTAATCCTGAATTTTAAAGTCATGAAGTCAAAGGTCAATTTCTGAATTCTATTAGAATTCTTTCATAGAGAACTATGAAAGAGGAACATGCAAGGAATTTATATAATTTTCAGTTTGACTTTTCAAATTCTATATTAGTATTTTTATTTAACCAATCAAGAACATTTTATTTAAGTCATCCAGTTGAGGTTCCTTTCCTCACTACATTCTATGGCAGCTCGTTCTCATCTTCCTTCACTTCGGGATGGGAGATCAGAGCAGGTAAACAAGGCTGTTCACAGCATTCCCAGGGAGGAAGGTCATGTAGTGCCTGCTTAGAGGAACAAGCAGCTCCACTGCCTGAGTGGTCACAGTATCCTGGGGTCCTTCAATCTCTGGTCACAGTGTGAACAGTTTGACTAATACATGATTATAAAAAAAACTTTTGAGACATTCTGTATGCCATAGGCATAAATTATAACACATAAAAATTTAGACTTATTCTAAATTATAACATAATGACATCCATTAGTTTTTCTTATACTATAGTTCAACACATATTCTTCAGAATTTTTTGTTTTCACATTTCTATGTCACTCAAGCACACTTAAATAAATAATGCTGAATTAACAGATGAACTTTTTTAAAACAAAAAGTTTATAATGCTACTGGGGTGTTATAATTGGATTCAATTATAACAATTCTCTAATTGGATTCAAAACATTAAGGATTGTAGGTTACTGACAAACTTGATACCATTAAAAACTGAGTATGTAAGTCTATAGATCTCATAATTGAAGGCATCTCATGTATTTTCAGCATGAACTTTATTTTCTATTTATATTCTGATTTGCAACATGATCTTTCTATAAAGATATTCTATATTGCCTTTACTGATTTACTTTTGAACCATGTTGGTATACAACCCAATTATGAATACCATTTTATCATTTGTTCACAGTATAATTTGCTCTGCTGTTGTGATTAAAGGACATACTCAAAAGTAGAGACTGTAAAGAATACATGTTTTTCCATAAATAAAAAATAAAAATGTTGTATCATTATATAATTTAAAAATTTACCAACAATAGAAATTTCATTTGTAAAAGACCCCTAACAAGACAGAATTTACAGATAATTGTATTTTGTTCTGATAATAAGTTGTACTTTTATAGTAATGACATCCTTGAGTATGAGGGGATTTTAGGATCTAATGGGATAAAAATCAAGACTCAACTACATTTGATAATAAGGGTAAAAGTAATACATCATTAATCAATATTATTAATTATACCTTATAGACAACTCAAAGGCAAACAAGACTATATATTAAGCCATCAGAGCACACAAGCTTAAAAACAACTTCATATTCAAGTATTCTAATTTTTTTTGTTCTTTATTTTTAAAAAAGAGAAAACTGGCTTGCTCTTCAACTCTGTCCATGCCCTCTCTTGAAGATGTACCTCACTTGTCTCTATGTGTCTTTGCTTGCTGATTTCCACTCTGCAGGCTTATGTTCTCTCTTAAACACCCTTTTCTTTTTCTCCTCTCACATCTTTTTAAGCAAGTTTCATTCCATAGAAACTACCCTACTTCACTATTTAACCTCCTCCTGAAATTCTTTCCTATGCGGGAAAAGTGGTAGGACCTGCATTGCCTGTGCTGCAGTTTGGACTGACCTGATCTGGGCCAGGCACTTGCCTGATGGAGAAGGATAAAGCAGAGAGGTGGAAGCACTCTTTTCTTATGTCTAACCCTCTCTCCCCCCACTCTATCTACTTAGCAACAGAAGATGGTAACTATGAAGTTAATACAGTAAAGGAGGGCAACAAAAAGGGGGAGAATCTGCATGAAAATGTGCAGATCAGAAATTTCTGTTATCTCCTGAATTTAGAACTATAGCAGGGAGGTGGGTAAGAAGGCCCTGATAATATACTTCTGTGAAATAATTTTTAAAAAATGTTTTGATAAAAAACATCTTGCTTTGCGGTAAGAGTGACAGTAGAGTGTGTAGGGTAGATTGCCTTCAATGTGGCTGACATGGGTTCAATCCCTTGAGTACTGCCAAGAGTAATTCCTGAGTACAAAGCCAGGAATAACCCCTGATCGCCGCTGAGAGTGCCCTAAAATCCAAAAACAAAAACAACAATAAACAAACAGAATCCCCCTCAAACAACAAAACCCCAAAACCCAAAACTATTTTGCTTCACAAAAATAAATAAAATCTAAGAAGAAGAAACCAACCTTTAGAAAAGAAACCAAACAAGTAACTTTTCTCCAAACAGTTTTGGAACAATTTTGAAATTATGCTTGCAGAAGTGTATTATTCAGGGGTAGAGAGATAGCACAGCAGGTAGGGTGCTTGCCTTGCATGCAGCCAACTTTGGTTCAATCTCCAGCACCTCTTATGGAATCCATACTCTGAGCCCCCAGAGGAGTGATTTCTGAGCACAGAGCTAGGACTAAGTTCACTAACTTGGAGTAAGCCTTTGTTTCGGAGCCACACTGGTAGGTGTGCACCCCCCTACCCCCGGAAAAAATAAAACAACAAAAGAATTGTATTGTTCAATCTTACCATTCTGTTAGAATGTTAGAAGCTTTAACTTTATTCAGCTCTTCTTGGATGGCCTGTTTAGCTCTTATTTCTGCATCCAAAGCTGACTGCAACTCTAGTCTTGCTGACATATCTAGTTTTGCAAAGCGACGCATTTTCCATGGCATATCCTATGAAATAGTATACTGTGTTTTAGCTCCATTTTCAACATTTAAATTTCATAATACAAGTAAATTTTCAAGCAACTCAGAGGTGGTACCTTTCTCAAAGAACAAAACAGAAACATTTGTGAAAAAATTATTTTTCATTAAATCTAAAAATAACTTTAGACTCACAAAGAAATGAGTTTATTATAGTTATTACCAATAATGACTAGTCACAAACAGCTAAGCAGCTATGTGTTATGATTTCATAAACTGAATTTCCAGGTTTTTTATCATACTGTAGGGTAGCCAAAAGCCGAAAACAGACTGACATAATCAGATTAAGTGTGTTTTCTGGGGGCCTGGAGAGACAGTACAGTACAGTGGGTAAGGTGCTTGCCTTGTACTCAGCTAAGGGCCCTACCTGTCAGGAGAGATACCTGAACATATAGCCAGGAGTAAGCCCTGACTGCTACTCGGTGTGGTCTCCAAACAAGAAAAATGACCTCTCTCTCTTTTTTTTTTGGATGCGTAGTACAATGAGTAAGACCTTGCTTTGCATAAGGTCAACAGAGTTTTGATTCCTAGCACCATACATGGTCCCCTAAGCAACTTTTAGCAGTGATCCCTAAGCACAGAGTCAAGAGTAAGAACTGAGCACAGCAGAGTGTAGTTCGACCCCTCCACTCCACCCCCACCCCATCTCCAAAGAAATGTTTATTGATGGTCGGAGAGACAGTTCAAGGGATACAGGGACTGCCATGCATGAGTCTGACCCTTTTTCTACCCCTGGCATTGCATAAGGACCCTGAGCAACCCTGGATATGTCCTCTTCCTGAACCTGTAAAAAGAGTGATTTTTTGAGGACTATCTATTCCTCAACACAGCCTCTAGGCAAAATGGCAGGTCTTACTGTTGCGCGAGTGCCCAGGCTGGAATTTCTTAATGCTTCTAATTCTTCAGTCATTTTAGAAGCCAAGGCCTGAAGATATCCTCGTGCATCTTTTTCATCACTGACCCTATAATATATGCAAACAAAGAGAGATATAAGATACAAAAGTAAAATAAACAGAAAAACTTTAAGGCAATATATTATCTTGTTTTATCTATTTTGGTTTTTGGGTCACATCCAGCACTGTTCAGGGGCTATTTTAGTGTTTGCTAGTCATTTCCAGTGATGCTTAGGGAACCACACAGTGCTGGGGAACAAACCTCGGGCCCCCTGACACCCTGCATTCAAACAGACATACTAACCCTTTGATCTGACACTTATGATACATTATTTAAAGCATCATAAGATTAGATTAGGACTTACAGTGGAAAACAATATAGTAAATACAGATGTTGAATGTTAATAATTAACATAAAACTTATATTACAATACAATATTATGTCATTAAAAAAGTGATAGAAATTTATGGTTTTTTTAAAAAAAAGTGACACCTGGTTTTGCTCAAGGCTTACTCCTGGTGGGGCTGAGAGTGCCATATGGAGTTCTGGGGATTGAACCCAGGTCTGCTGCATGCAAAGCAAGCATCCTTCCATGGGACTATCTCTCTGGTCCTCTGGCCCCCGTCTTAAATACCCTCTTTCAAAAATTCTTCTACACTCAGAGCCGGAGAGATAGTAAGGTGCTTGGTGGTAAATTGCTTGCCTTACATGCTGCCAACCTAGGTTCAATGCCCAATACTGAATGTGGTCTCTCAAGCACTGCCAGGGGGCACTCCTGAGCACACAGCCAGGAATAGTTTCTGAGTACCACCAAGTATGAATGCCTCCTTCCTCTCCTCCACTTCCCCCAGAAAGAAAAAGGATCTTCCAACAAGATAGAAGAAGCTTATAGACTTTTCAGGTACCTACATATGACAGATGTCAGTTATAGGAAGTGTAGGATAACAATGGTTTGTCCTTTCTGCCTTGCCGCAGGGAGCTTAGGTTTACTGGGTTACTCCCACTACAGTGCCCCCATTCCTCTGTGTTTATTTGTAACTTCTTTCTTTGTGCTCTGTTGACTTGTAAATATTGTTTTTCTCTTCTCAAGTCCTTTGCATAGTTAACTCAGAGCAATGTCCTTTCAGTATGGACACAAGAAGATAGTAAATGCTATACTTTTGTAACGTGGGAGTTAAGTGACTCTGAATGATATTTAGTTCCTGGACATCCGTTCTTTCAACTTAAGCCTCAGTTGCCCTTACTTCCTAGCACCCCCAAAGCAGGGTCCTGATGAGGAACTACATGGACCCAGGGCAAGTGGTAAGCTATGTGCTACCCTGGCATCGAGGTGGGCCTGGCCAAAGTGCCATATGGCTTAACTATAAGGTAAGAGCTTGGTCATGGACAAATGCTGTCATGATCCAAAAAGTAATAACCAGATTCAGACCCTGCTAGGGTTAGGAAAGATTAATCTGGCCTGAGCACTGTAGTCTGAGTCTGTGGCAAGATATTCCCAGGAGAGCCACCCGACAAGCCTCAATATATCTCTTACTGTGTCCATACAAAAATAACTAATATTAAGAAGTACAATTATGATGTTAATTAATATGTTAAGTTATTAAATTAAGGAGAAGAGAAACACTCTAGGTGGTGTTTCTGCCCTTTAGCCTAATGGCAGTCAGGAAGGGCTTTCTTATGTTGATTTTGCTACTGGACTGTGACCTACCCCCACTGCTGGGGAGTTGGGGAGAGATGAGAGAGTTGGAGAAATGTGAGAGAGAGCAGGGCAGCAAAATGGAGTGCAGAGAGACTAGCAAGGGGGACAGAGGGAGAAGAATGTAGAAAGAATGCAGGAGCAGGCATTTGGAGAGAGAGTGAGCCCAGGCTGTGAGATGGAGTGCAGAGAGATGAGCTGGAGAGACAGGAGGAGACAGGAATGAGGGGCAGTGTGAGACTAGAATGGGGGGCTTAGATAGAATGGAATAGGCAAGTGGGGAGAATGGAATAAATGGCAACTGTTTAACCAACTGGCTTGGCCCTCATTTTCTTCTCCGTCTGCCCCATGGCACAGGCCGAGGCCATCCTGAATGTGAGCCATCAGGGCTCTCCCTTGCTGCCCCGGAGATTATAAAGGGAAGTCTAAGGTACTCACACCTGATGATTAATAACCACTTAAGCCACAGAATTAGTACTCTTTTCACATAGAATAAACACACACACACGCACACAGAGGAAAATTCTAAAAAGAACTATTAAAGTTTATTATTAACTGAATTCTGTTCATTTGCCTTATGAAAACATATATTCTTCTTAAAAATGAGTATTCTAGTTTAGCTTAATGTAGGATATTATGCAAAAATTGGACGTGCGTTATAATAAAGCTCTTTGTTTTTAAAAAGTCAATAAGAAAACAAACAGCAAAGATTAAAATCTACTAAAATCTGTTGGTCTTCTTCAGAAATGTCTGTTCATTTTCTCTCCCTTTTCCTTTTTTTGACCAGGCTTTTTTAGAGTTTTTTTGATGTTGTTGATCTCGGTGAACACTTTATAGATCTTGGATATCAACCCTTTATCCAATGTGCTGAGTGCAAATATTTTCTCCCATTCAGTTGCTTCTTAATCTTAGCTTGTAATTCAGTTGCTTCTTAATCTTAGCTTGTAATTCTTTGCATACAAAAACTTTTATATTTGATGTAGCCACATTTGTTTCGTTTTGATTCTGTACCCTTTGTCTATGGCATTATATCATTGAGAATTCCTTTTGAGAGTTAGGTCTTGGAGTGTTCTACCTATATTTTCCTCAATGTATTTTATAGATTCATGTCTGATCTCAAGGCCTTTGATCCACTTTGAGCTGATTTTTGTGTATGGTGTGAGATATGGGTCCAGCTTTAATTTCTTGCATGTGGTTGCCTAATTCTTCCAACACCATTTTTGAAAAGGTAGTCTTTATTCCATTTCAGACTCTAAGCTCTTTTGTCAAACATTAGCTGACTAAATATATGGGTGTTTATCCATGGATATTCTATTCTAACCTGCTGGTCAGAGTATTTCTTTATTCTAGTACCACGCTATTTTGATTACTATGACTTTATAGTATAGATTCAAGTTAGGTAGTGAGATGCCTCCCAGTGTCTTGTTTTTCAGTATGGTTATGGCTATGTAGGGTCTGTAATAGTTTCAAACAAACTTTAAAATGGACTGTTCTAAGTCCTTGAAGAATGTTGTCTAAATCTGGATAGAGATTATATTGAATCTCTGTATATATGGTTTATAGTGACTTTTTAAAGAAAAATTACCCGGGGACTGGAGTACAGTGGGCAAGTTGTTTCCCTTGCGTGAGACTGACCTGGGTTCAACCCCAACATCCCATATGGTCCCCTGAGCACTGCCAGGAACAACTCCTGAGAACAGAGCCAGGAGTACGCAATACTCTTTGAACACTGCCGAGTGTGACTCAAAATAAAAGAAAAAAAGAAGAAAAAGTAAAATAACTTTAGCAAATATTGATAGTTAGAGGCTTCTTGCTTCCTTCTAAACATTTGACAATAGTGACTACTTTTCAAAAGACTAAATCTTTTCATTTAATTATCTTATAGTACAGAAGATGAAAATGGGATAGACTGTCTTTTTTGGAGTGCAAAGATAGAGTAACAATAAAGGAAATGCTATTATTATCTATATGGCTGGACTAAAAGGCTCTACTAGATAATAATCTACTACAACTAAGATATCTTGATTTACATACATTTTTAGGAACCTATGAAGTTCAATGTGTTTCAGTACCTTTGAAAATTAAGTAACTTCTTGAAAATGGCTTTATATTTTTTGAAACTTTTTATAAAAAACAATATTTGTTTTTAATTTACATGTTCAATACATTAATATTCTCTTACCATTCTGCCCTTCAAAAAAATTCTCAACTTTTAATTAAAACTATCTCCTTTTCTTGGTCACAGAAAAATACTAGTGTAAAGGTTAAAAGGAAAAAAAACCCAGTGAACTACAAACTCAGGCTATTAAAGTTCTAAAAGAATTCAGGTTTTAAAAAATTCTGTTAAAAACCATTGTTATTTGTCTATTTTCATCTTTAACCTTAAAAAGAAAAACCTCACTTCCCCAGGCCCTATACTATATCTTAGTATAGATCTCTTAGTTCTATTTTGTTTTTCTGGCATATCTAAAACTTTCCTCCCAAGTTCCTTCAAATAATTGATATTTATAAAATACTAACACTATGTTGGCACATTAGAAAGGAAAGATATACACAGTAAATGAAGAACTTCTTAGGGCTAGGGCGATAGTACAGTGGGTATAGTGATTGCTTTGTACACAGCTGACCCAGGTTCGACTCCTGGCACTCCACTTGGTCCCCAGAGCCACACGAATATTGATCTTTGAGTACAGATCCAGGAGTAAGTCCTGAGCACAGCTCAGTGTGGCCCAATAATAAATACAAAATATGAACTTGATTCTTGTGGTTTGGGAAATAGTTCAAAGGACCAGAGAACATGTCTTGCATCCAATGAGGCCAGGATCAATTAGGTGGGGTTAGATTCCAAGCACTGCAAATTCCCATGAGCATTGCCTGGTATGGATCTGGTGGCCCACAGCATTGGGACAATAGAACAACATCAATGCAAATATAATGAGTCATGTTAAGCAAAGTAAGTCAGAGGAAGAAAAGCAAACAAGGAATGATCTCATTTATATGTGGTATATAAAAAACTGAAGTAAGGACTACAGAATGAAATGAAAACAAACCAACGAAACAAACCCTTATACTCCAAACATAGTATTGAGGTTGGGGCAGGAGCATATGGGAAGGACTCTATTGATGCTGGTGCAGGAATATTGTCACTTTTGTGGTGGCTGTAGTGTGCCAACTTTGTACCCTTAAAAAAACATTTTTTCTCTTATAAACGAGTTGCCCTCTGAGAAATAAACTTTGAAATTAAAATTGGAGTTATTTAATGGAGATTAAGACACAGAAAACAACAACAACAACAACAACAACAGTAGACTGAAAATCAGTAAAATTTGTAGACCAGTAATATAATTAAGCCTTCAGGATAACTTGCTTATTTTGGGGCCACACTCAGCAATGCAAAAGGAGTCATTCCTAGTTCTACACTCAGGAATTTTTACTCTTAGTGGTGCTCAAAAAACCACATGGGATGCCGAGGATAAAACCTGAGTTGAATGCATGCAAAGAAAGCACCCTACATGCTGTACTATCTCTCCAGCCAAAAGTAAGATAAAGAACTTGTTGGTAGTCTCCCAGAATTCATAGCAATATCATCATGGGTCTAAAATCAGCCCCCTCCAAGAATTTTTTAAAATATTTATTTTTTATTTATTTTTTATTTTTTAATGACTCATCATGGGGTACAGTTACAGGCTTAAAAATTTTCGTGCTTACAATTCCCTCCACCCCTTCCAAGATTTTTTAAAGAGTACTCACCACTGAATTATTTCTGTGATTTGAGCTTCCCAATGTGCAACTGATTCTTTCTTATCTGCAAGATCTTTAATCTCTTCTTCTAATTGTTGGTTGTGAATACTTAAGTTCTCATACAAAGTGGTAAGCTGAAAGATAGTTTTTTAAGACATTTAAAATACATGACTTTATTTAAATTTTTGCCACACCCAGTGGTGCTCAGGACTTACTACCTCTGTGCTCAGGGATCACTCCTGGCAGTGGTCAGAAGACCATGGGAGTAAATAATTCTCGAAAGAAATCAACAAACTGCAGAGAAACTTCTGGACCCCGCACTAGGCTAAGTTTCATCTGGGGCACACCAGAGAGAGGTGGGTGAGCCCACATTCCACCCAAACAGAGCCCTAGCAACTGAAAACTTCCATATTTCACAGTGGCTGCTATACTCAAGGCTGGGCTCCAGCCACAGCTTGGACGAGACTCATGCAGAAATTGATCTGCTGAAAAACTCAGGTATGTGGGTTTTGTGACTTCCCAGCTCTTATGGAGCTGGGAAAGAGCTGGGAAGTCATTCCCACAAACTGATTCTGGTGCCATTTAAGGTCATTAATGGCTATGACCCAGAAACTCACAAACAAATCTTAGAAGAGAGCTAAAAGCTGCAGAGATGCCTCCAGACCCCAAAGTCACCATCCAGTTAAAATTTTAACTCCAGCTGTATCACCCATTCAAAATTTTAGAATTCCCGAAGTGACATCTTGAAATTCATATCACTGATATACCAGGAGTAGCACACCACATTGGATGGGATATAAAGTAGAAGGCAACCTAATCTCGATTTAGAAAATATTAACACATGAGGCTTAACCTGTAACAACATGTTAGTAATTAAGAACTTAGTGGTTCCTTGATGAGAGACAACAACCAACACACACTTTCTTTAAAGAAAACCATTTTTGTTCATTTTTAGAGAATTATTTTTTATCATATTTTTTATTAGTGAAACACCATGAAGTACACTTATAGACATAAATTTTTGTGCTTGGGTTTCAGTTATACAATAATCAAGTACCCATCCCTCCACCAGTGCCCATCCTCCCCCACCACGGGTCCTAGCATCCCTTCCACCCCCCATCCCACCCTGCCGCTGTGGCGGGGCATTCCCCCTTGTTCTCTCTCTCTTCTTTTGGGTGCTGTGTTTTGCCAGAGAGGAATTGAGTGGCAATCATGTTTGGTCTATAGACTACTTTTAGCATGTCTCTCCCACCCTGGGAGGGTCTTCACAACACCCTTTATTTTTTTTTATTTTTTATTTTTTTTATCATTTTTTTAATTAGTTTTTAGAGAATTATTAAGAACAATATAAAATAAATTATTTAGGGCCTGCTACTGGGGCAGGCTTGAGTGGTGGTCAGAGAAAATTGGAAATAGTGGTGGTGGGAAGGTTCAATCGTGGTGGGATTGGTGCTGGAATATTGAATGTAATAAATCATCATGAATAACTTAATAAAAATGAATAGTTTTTATTTTTTAAAAAAGAAGACAGCCATGGGCTCCTTAGATTAAACTAAGGTTGGCTGCATTGCAGGCAAGTGCTCAACATACTGTTCTGGCCCCCAAAACACATGACTTTTGAGAAGAGGGATTTAAGTACCCAGATGCTTCTTATAAACCTGATAACTCACCACTTTTCACTCAAAATGCTTGTTTTCCAGATTCCTTATTATTATTATTACTATTATGAACCCTTCTAGTCACTGAATTTGAATACATCAAATACTCTCTAACTTTCCTTCTGCCTTTTCCTTTTCCTTATCCCTTACTTACACCGAATCTGTTCCATTTATCAGCATTCTGGGCTGGAGCGATAGCACAGCGGTAGGGCGTTTGCCTTGCACGCAGCCAACATGGCCGACCCGAAGTTCAATTCCTCCGTCCCTCTCGGAGAGCCCGGCAAGCTACCGAGAGTATCTCGCCCGCATGGCAGAGCCTGGCAAGCTCCCCGTGATGTATTCGATATGCCAAACACAGTAACAACAAAGTCTCCAATGGAGACATTACTAGGCCCGCTCGAGCAAATTGATGAACAACAGGAGGACTGTGACTCCCATGTCAGATGATATATTTTATATATTTTCCCACCCTATCTGAAAATGTCTTTACGCCATCCTCTAAGGAAACCGTAGAATCTGAAGCAAAATGCAAAAGGGGAAGGTTACTGTATGTGGATTCTTTTTATTTGTTTTTGTTTATAGGCAAGGAATAAGCCATGAGCACTGCTAGATATGGCACAGAACCAAAGAATAAAAGGGGAGAGGGAGAGAGGGAGAGTAAGAGAGGGAGGGAGGGAGGGAGGGGGGAAGAGAGAGAGAGAGAGAGAGAGAGAGAGAGAGAGAGAGAGAGAGAGAGAGAATATTCCAGTACAGAACAGCATAATGAAAATTGATAGCCTGGGCCATATGAACAAGTTTTATATATTAAAAAAGTATATCAAATATAAAATCACACCCACAATTTTTATCAGCATGCTAAACATATAGTATGTGTTCAATTAATATGAGAATTAATCACTCACCTTATCAAGGTCACTTGTCAGTTTCTTATTTTCTTCCGTTAATAACACTTTTTCTCGTTCATACTGTTGTTTGAACTCATTTTCAAATTCTTCCCTCTCATTTTGACTAACATAATTCAAAAACAAAAAGAAAAAAAGGAATAAAATTAAAGGCAAAATAATAATATCCCAGATTGGCCTTTTATCATATGCTTGATTGTGAAATTTCATTTTTATCATGATTGTTCCAGATACCAATTCTTTCCCTTAAAATTGAAAGTCAGAATCATGTCTTTAAATTTAATAGAGATTTATCTGCTTGGTAACATGTACTCTGGTTTTCATTTGAAAATCTGAGACTATTCGATTTATATACTTCCTGAACATGTTGGGTTTACGCTAGAAAGTATGAGAAAATTAGGCTGGAGAAAGCAAACATATAGGAACCACAATATAATTCTCAAGAAAGCTGCTGGCCACTTCCAGCAATACATAGTTGTCAGCCTGGTAGGCACATAAAAAGCATAAACTTTCTCTTAACTGTACTACTTCAATAAATTTCTTAAAAATCACTGAAGGAAGAAAGGAGTTACAGTTTTGAATAGTTTTTAACATATCACAGTGCATCCTTATATCTTTGAACACTTTTTCACAGCTATAATTTTCTTATTTTGGTCTTAACTTAGATATACTTTGACTCTCAAAGTCTAGATACAGCAAAATTATCTGTAGCACTTCTTCTGTAGACTGTCCTATACTCACCCACTTTGCTTTGTTTTTTTTATCAGCTATACTGTCATTTATTTCCAATTTGACTCTGGAAATGGACATGCCATATTCTATATATCTCTAGTTCATGAAAAATCACACATATTCAATACATAGTTATTAAGGATGAAAACAGAGAGCTAACAGATAAAAATGAACCTAGAGATAGCTTAAAAGGAAAATGGTAAAGGGATATTGGCATTATGGTGGTGGGTGATGTTCAGTTATATTGTATGCTTATGGAATAAATAATAATACTATTGTAAACTATAGTACTGGATTAAAATAAACACATATAAATTCTTACCTTTCTCTCCTGTTTTTTTCCAATTTGTCTTTCAAAATCAAAATTTCTTTGTTGAGAGCAAGCTGCTGACCTTCTGAATCATGTAGCTCTTTTTTCAGATTTTTAATTTCATTTGCATGTATTCCTTCCCTTTTAGATAATTCTTCTTCATAAAAGATACTTTTCCTTTCCAAATCAGTTTTTAGTTTAGTTATTTCTTGCTGATGTTCAATGCTACATACTCCTGGTGAGTAACTAATTTGTTTTTGCTAGAGAATAATGATATATGCATGTGTAAGAATAATAAATTATCAAAGAATAACTACTTTCTATAATGTAAAATACTTCATACAGCCTAAAATTACTTTTGTATATTATCACACAAGATCATTATTTATTAAGATTATTAACATTTTGAGTGTCAAATGTTCCATATATTGTTCTCAGTTTATATTTAATTCTACTGTATTTTATAGTCTTCTTCACACCAAGACTCTATATTCACACATTTTATTTGGCTAAGTATTTTGTAATTATTTGTTTTATATTTGAAATGTTAATTTCTGTACTGCTGTTGGTGCAGAATAAGAAAAATTTAACTGCTTCAAGTTTCTGATGTAGAATCAATAAAAAAGTTACAATGGGGAAGAGTAATGGAGCTGGAATATGCAAAAAAAAAGAGAGAGAGAAGAGGTTTTTGTAATAGTTCAGGAAGAAATGGCAGGGATCTAATCTAACATCTTGATATACACTCTGGGACTAAAATTAGGTCTCATATTTAGGTTTGGCTTTAAGAAGAGGAATCTGGTTCACTGCTATCTTTTGTGAATTAGATTGAAAGATAATTTCAAAGAAGAAAGGGAAGTTCAAAAGTTCAGGTAGACAAAGTTGGCAAAACACTCCATGACACTGAAGCTAATGTCACACCACTGGCCGAGCAAGTGAAAACAGACATAGATAAATGGGACTATCTTAAACTAAGAAGCTTCTGCACCTCCAAAGAGTGACCAAAATACAAAGACAGTCTACAGAATGGGAAAGGATATTCACCGAATACACATCTGTCAAGGGGTTGATATCAAGGATATATAAATTACTGGTTGAACTCCACAAGAAGAAAACATCCAACCCAATAAAAAAAAATGGGGCAATGAAATGAACAGAAACTTTCTCAAAGAAGAAATCTGAATGGCAGAAAGGCACATGAGAAAATGCTCTAAATAATTAATCATCAGGGAGATGCAGATCAAAACCACAATGAGATACCATCTCACACCTCAGAGACTGGCCCACATCCAAAAGAACAAAAGCAACCGATGCTGGCACGGATGTGGCGAGAAAGGGACACTCCTTCACTGTTGGTGGGAATGCCAACTGGTTCAGCCCTTTTGGAAAACAGTATGGACAATTCTCAAAAAATTAGAAATTGAGCTCCCATTTAACCTAGCAATACCACTCCTGGGAATATATCCCAGAGAGGTAAAAAAGTATAGTCGAAGTGACATCTGCAATTGTTTGTTCATTGCAGCACTCTTTACTATAGCCAGAATCTGGAAAAAAACCTGAGTGCCCAAGAATAGATGACTGGTTAAAGAAACTTTGGTATATCTACATAATGGAGTACTATGTAGCTGTTAGAAAAAAATGAAGTCATGAAATTTACATACAAGTGGTACTACATGGAAAGTATCATGTTAAGCGAAATGAGTCAGAAAGAGAGGGATAGACATAGAAAGATTGCATTCAACTGGGGAACATAAAGTAACAAAATAGGAGACTAACACCCAAGAAAGGCCGAGATTAGTACCAGGAATTTTACTCCATGGCTTGGAGGTCAGCCACACATGCTAGGGGAAAAGGGATCTCAGATAGAGAAGGGAGCATCAAATAAAGGGTGTTGGGAGGATCCTCCCAGGATAGGAGAAGCATGCTGAAAGTAGACTATAGACCAAACATGATTGCCACTCAATGCTTCTTTTGCAGACCACAACACCCAAAAGGAGAGAGAGAACAAGAGGAAATGCCCTGCCACAGAGGCAGGGGGGATGGGGGAGGTGGGGGTGGGAGAGATACTGGGATCCAGAACAAGAGGAAATGCCCTGCCACAGAGGCAGGGGGGATGAGGGGGTGGGGGTGGGAGAGATACTGGGATCCATGGTGGTAGAAAATGGGCACTGGTGGAGGGATGGATATTTGATCATTGTATAATCAAAACCCAAGCACAAAAATTTGTAAGTCTACAACTGTACCTCATGGTGTTTCACTAATAAAAATCAATAAAAAAAGTTCTTCCAGGTAATGGTTAATCAATATACAGAGATTATTATTTAAGATTTCCTAATTTTTAAGATTTTTATTATATAGATTACTATTTAAGATTTCCCAAAAGTTCTTTGCCACTTTTTATATTACTTTATTGCAATCTATTTCTGGGTGTGGGGTGGGGTCTACCAAGCAGTGCTAAGGAGGCTCAGAGGTCACTTATGATGATACTAAGCCAACCAGTTTGGTGTAGCTCAAAGTCAAGACCTGAGGCTCAACTCTGGCCCTGCAGGGCCAGGAACCATCAGGGCCAGCAATGCTAAGGAACCTCTGGGTTCTCCATACCTACAGCTCTCTGGTCCTACAATGGCTATCATGACTAAATGACTGACAACAAATTCTAAATCAGAAAGAACAGGAATTTACATTTCATGACATCAAGGAATCAAAGTCTAGGAAACAATATGTCCTATTTTAAACCCAGTATTAAGGGTGTGGAAAACAAAACAAAGCAAAAAACAGTGGTAAATGTACTTTAAAGAAACCACATCAGCTTAGTCACATTTTAGAGATACAGATACATGGACACACACACACACACACACACACACACACACACTTTTTTAAATTTAAGCAAAGGCATAAATTAGGGAAGAGGGGAGAGAGTCCAAAGGGCAGAGAGTTCAAAGGGTTGGAGCACATGCTGGGCAGACACAAGACCCCAAGTATAATCCCATGGGCAGCATGAAATTTAACTTTTTTAACTTTGAGGTTAAAAAGATGGCTTTCACACACTCTAGGTGTAAAGGTAGCTCAGATAGAGAAGGGAGCACCAAATAAAGGGTGTTGAGAAGATCTGCCCAGGATGGGAGATGCATGCTGAAAGTAGACTATAGACCGAACATGATTGTCACTCAATGCCTCTTTTGCAAACCACAGCACCCAAAAGGAGAGAGAAAACAAAAGGGAGTGCCCTGCCACAGAGGCAGAGTGGGATGGGGGGATGAGAGGGGTGGGAGAGATACTGGGATCCATGGCGGTAGAAAATGGGCACTGGTGGAGGGATGGGCATTTGATAATTGTATAATCGAAACCCAAGCACAAAAATTTGTAAATCTACAACTGTACCTCATGGTGTTTCACTAATAAAATTTTTTTTTTAAAAAAAAGAAAAATCTAACAATTTTTAAAGATCAAAATAAAAAAAAATAGCTTTAACCAAATTCCTCTTCTTATGCCGTACCTAAATATGAGGCCTATTGTTTTGTTTCATTTTGTTTCCTAGAGTATATATGAAGACGTTAGGTTTGACTCCCGCCAGTGGCTCTCTGGTGGCTTCAGAGCACCGTTGATCCTAAGCAGCACCATATTACCAGCAACTCTGAGCCACCTGGAACACACAGTGGAGGCAAGGATTATCTGGAATGAGCCACAGACTCCATGGACACAGCTTGGGAAGATCCCCAACAAAACAAAAACAACTAGTCATCAATGAAGCCTTGAGAAATTTGTAGTTCTATTTTATAACTTGCTCAGAGACTGTTATGAAATGTCTACCATGCGGGAAACCCAGATTATCAAGTAGTATTCAGAGCTCTGCTAAAATAAGTCATCACAAGTCACAAGTCTTTGCACCTCCATGAAATGTTGCAGACCTCTAACTTATGCCATTTTCCAACTTTTTAATTACTTAAATAATACTTTCAGTTTGTTGGTCTGTATAGTACAGTTGGTTGTTGGGATGACAGCAGCATGAGCGATAGCACAGCGGGTAGGGCGTCTGCCTTGCACGCAGCCAACATGGCTGACCCAAGTTCGATTCCTCCGCCCCTCTCAGAGAGCCCGGCAAGCTACTGAGAGTATTCGATATGCCAGACACAGTAACAACAAAGTCTCCAATGGAGATGTTACTGGGCCCGCTCGAGCAAATCGATGATCAACGGGAGGGCCTTTACTTTTTTTTTTACTTAAAAAAACTTAAGATACCACTAAAAAAAAGCTATAGACTCATATCATTTACTGAAAGTTATTAAAAAGTCAAGTAAAATGCCAACAAATTAAGCCACTTAGAAAAATGGAAGTCTATCTAAATTTAGCATGTTTTATATAGTTATTAAAGGTCAATTAATTTTAGTAAAATTAGTAAATATGCAAAAATTACATTAAATAGATTAAAAGAAGTATATGACAACTGCAGAAGATATTCCTAGCCTGTATTGTTTGATAACATCAACAAATATTTCAAATACTAACACAAGTCATATAATAAGATAAAACCAGAATAGAATGATTCTTTTAATATAAAGTATTTGCGGTCAAGCTATCATATAAAGTAATACTTAAGGGTGACATGTCAGAAGTACTAACAAATATATTCAGAAATAATAACAACCTCTAGTACCCAGGTCTTTAAAATCTGGTGCTGGCGCCCTGCATTAAATAAACTGTAACCTGCAGGTAGCTAGCTTGGGGTGTCCAGCAGATGCACACCTAGGGTCACAGACTCACTAACATCACTGTGTATAGGGTAGGCAAAGTCAGCCACTCCTGGCAATGCAGGCACGGAAAGCTACATCCCTCCTGCATGTCCCATAGGCAACACAATGTCTCTGGGATGAGCATAAGAAACTCAAGACAAGTAAAAATGAAATACACCAGATGGATAGCTTTGGTAGGGAATAAAGAGAGTACCAAAACCAGCTGGGCCACACAGAGAGGTCCCCAATGGTAGAGGGACACAAAGCTGTAAACTGGAGAGACTCCCAGTTGGCAACAGACACAACAAGAAGTAGCACAGAACTCCACCACACTTAGTGAGCAAAGACAGTAGTCCTGAAGACTCAGCCAGTACTAACCATATATATATAAAACCTCTCAGATAGACATTAGAGTGGAAATGCATAGGATGTTTAATGATCTCAAAAAAAAAAAAAAACAAATGAAACACAAGAGGAATGACCAGAGATGAGAAAACTACAAGCTGAAATGAACTAAAGAATTTGGTAGA